GAGGTCCAGTCCTCTTGGGGTATGACAAGTCACTTTGTTTTTGTATCTTCTCAGTAGGACCTGCAGGTACGACCCTATTATATCTGGCTGGTGATAGGTGTGAGGAACCCCTGAATTATGTTCAGCCTCATGAGGAAGATGTCCCCTTCAGGGAGAGGAGGTGAGAAAAGAGAAGATGAGATGTCCCTTACATCTCAGCTGGAAGGTCCAGTGCAGTTCACCAGAGATCCCTGCAAGGGGATTTAGGTGAGAGCCCAGCTGGGAGTGAAGTGAGCTCTGCTGCCTTCACAACTGACTGGCATGCATACAGCTGCCCGAGTGCATCTCACAGAGCTGGCTGTGGGGCAAGGTGGCATCCTGACATTTCTCTACAAGCTTGGCATGTAAGCGACCACCACTGATCCTGAGGCTGTCCCAGCATGACTGCCCTCTCAGGTCCCTGAAATACGGCTCTGCCTTCTGGGGCAGCTTGTCTCAAGCAGGACAGCCTTGCTCTTGAGCCCACGTGTGTATGCTGCAGAGATTCTGCCTCTCCCAGGCCCAGCCTATGCTGAGGGACAGCAGGCTGCAGGCTCCTCTGCTAAGGGCTAGTTTAACGTTTTCCACCGATGCTCTCAAAAAGGGAGATGCATTGTATCAAGATGATGGATTTGGTAGGTCCCTATTTCCACACTTTTTCAAAGCCCTCTGAAGGTTCTCTGAGCCACTAGGCAAGGAAGGGGCGCTTTTTCTGTCTGGGATATGCCATTTATTTTGGATGCAGATGCAGGGAAATAGTACAAGATTTATTAACATGTTCTTTCTTTAAAGACTCCCTAAAACTTTTCACCATAATATTTATGGCCCCAAATAGTCTTTCCTTAAAAATATTTCAAAAGTGATGCACGTATAAAAAAAAACTTTTTTTTAGAAAAAAGTTTTAAAAGAATGTAAGCATAACCTTTCACCCCAAAGACAGCTAACCCTTATTAACATTTCTTTACAATTATTTTATGTGTGTTACCGCACAGACACACACCTGCAATAATCATAGATTCATGAGAAGTTGTGCCCTTGCTCTAGCTCCTCCCTGTTTAGGACTTCCTATGTAACTTAGTACACTAAAGCTGCTAGTGTGTGTATGCACATGTATATGCACAAGTGTGTACATAATGAGCATAATTGTCTTTTGATGTCTCAGAACATACTAGAAACTTAGAGACAACTTCTGTATTTTTTCCTGCTCTATCCACTGATGGATGTTGGTGGTTTAGGCCCACATGAAGCCTTTTCTTCTGGCTCATCCCCTCAGGCCAATATTTTCTAAACTATGGACAGACACTGATGAGATGATGTAAAAATAAATATTAAATAAGAATGAATAGTTATGTATTCAGTCTTTTACTATGATCTTCCACTTTTATCCACCAAATTAACATGCAAAAGATGATAAAGTGTCCTTATAAACAAACTTATTCAAGTATAGAGATAAGGAAAAGTTTGAAGGAAATGATAATGAACGCTGTAGGCAGATGCAAGATTAATGCTGCGCAGGGTGCTAACGTGGTGGAGGTTGGGGAAGTGTGTCCCGAGGTGAGCAGGTTAGTCCCTTTCCTGCAGCAACTGTTCATGTACCGCCCACTCTTAGTTCCGTACTTCGAACACGGACGTCTGCGGACGTCTGGACCTTCAACCCACGCATCCTGCTGGTGTCTTCACTTTCCCACCTGAAAGGTTCAAGCCTGACCTCTTCTGTGGGAGTCAGCCCCGCCCCCTTCAGACCTGCGTGTCCTCCAGGCTTGGCCCATTCTGGGAAGGAAACCACCACTCATCTCTCCCCTCAGTTAGAAGCCGGCGCATCCCGGCTGTATGTCTCCTCCTGTATTTCAAGCGTCACAGCCACTCGGTTTTCAGCTTCTGCTCATTCTGTTTTCCGAATGTCTTTCCGACACGTCTGTTTTCCTCCATCGTCACCACTCGAGCCCAAGCCCTCGTCCTCTTTTGTTTGGATTGCTTCTCCACAGTTACTCCTTCGCTGACCCACCCCTTGCTTGCACGCTAGTTAGTGTGGTTTCTCCACGTGGACGTGGAAACCACTTTTGGCCTTGCCCTGCTCTCTGGCTGTATAGTGTCACTTCTCTTGACCTCTCCAGCCTTCTCTTTCACAATGGCTTATTCCTCCTGCCTTCGTACCAACAATGTGCTCACCTTTTGGGTCTTTGCCCTGCCTCTGAGCCTGTGAGTCTGTCGTTCTCCCCACTTTTTGCCTAGTTAACTCTGAGCATTCCTGTTTTTGATCACTTGCCCCAAAATGGTCCCTTTGTTTTACTCTCTCATTGCATGCCCTGTTCTCCTTCATGCCTTTAAATATTTCTACTTGCTTTTTCAGCATATTTACTGGATTGTTAGCTTGTTTATTGCATTAAATCTGGTGCTCAGCTCACTGCCTGGTACAGAGTAGGGATCAGTAAACATTTGTTGATTTGTTGGGTACTTGAACTATAGTTGTTGGCTCTTGGGCCAGCCACTAGCTGTGTCCCTAATTTTCCTACCTTTGTGAAATTCCCAAATTGGGCCATCAGCAGATTTTTTGCAGCAGCTTTTCCAAGTTTGCCATCAGGGTCAGAAAAGTTTCTGAAAATCAGAGCTGCAGTGGCAAGGGCTTTTTCCAGATCTGAGCTCTTCTTCAAACCTATGGGAGAAGAAACACACGACAAAGTGCACTGGAGTACAGTATCCTAGACATGGGATATTTCTTTCCAGGGACAGACGGGGAGCAGGTTTCGGAGGTGGGCAACAACGTGGCCTAGTCCTTGGATTTTTGCCCTGCCTGGGAGTGGGATGTGCCAGATATTTGATCCTGCATCTTTAAACAATGGAGAGGAACAAAAATGTTTTTAGTAGCAATTAGGTTGCTAATTGCTAGGTTGAGATTTACAGTCTGCTTGCTATAGGACCTTGGCAAAGCACTTAAGTATTGGTTTTCTGAGCTGTGATTTTATTCCTTTAGTCAACAGATATTTATAAAACATTTCTCAGTCATTTTCCCCTTGGTGGGGCCAAACACTGGACACACAAAACTTAAAGGAGGAGGGGTGTACTTTGGCTTCTGCTTTCAGAGATTTTGGTCCACGCTTGGCTGGCTGCAAGGTGGGACTATCATGGCAGGAGGGTGAGGTGGAGGAGAGCTACTCCAATCCTGGCAGCCAGGAAGCAGAGAATAGACGAGCCAGACAAAGAAAGACTGGGGAAATGCACTCTCCAAAGGCTCCTCCACTCACAGCCAGGGTTTTTGCAAGAGACTGGAATACAAGTGCGCGATCGCCGAGCCTGCTTCTAGGAGGTGTGGCATAGTCAGAAGGCGAGGGCAGCTGAGAGTGGGACCTGGAGCTTTGCTCTCCCTCCTGGCTCCCTTCTCTTCCTGCTACCCGACAGCAATGAGGTGAGCCGCGTTCTTCCGCCCAGGCCCTCCCGCTGGGCCACTTTTGCTGGAGTCAGCTGACCATGCCTGGACTGTAAACCAAAACAAACCTCTCCTCCTTTAAGTCATAGGTGTTGGGCATTTTGTCCTAGTGATGAAGAAAGGGACCAGGACGCCCCCCAACACAGGGATTTCTTTTTTGCTTGCCTTATTTTCTATTGAATCTCTAGCACAAAGTGAGTGCTTCACAAATATTTGTTGAATAAGTGGCTGCAAAAACTGTGTCTTCGACGTATTCCTCCTTGATTTCCTTCTTGGTCTCAGGTCCTTCACCTTATTCCAGTCTTCGATTGGTGCTTTGCACTTCGGATTTTTGCACGCTTGACCAGTGGCTGACACTGCACTTTCCTCAGAGCTCCAGCCTCAGAAAATCCCCTGCTTATTTGGGCTTTATTTCTAGCTTGTTCTTTGTCCATCCCAGCCTCTTCTTCCTTCCACTCTTGCCACATCCAGAAAACCCTGGATCTCTTTGTTGCCTACCAGTGTCATGCTCTTCAAAGCACAAGGAGACGAGCGTGTGTCTTTCAGCTCCCGCTCTGCTTTTCCGGAGGAGTGTGTGTTTGAGGTGGAAGAGTACGCTGCCTTCGTCTTCTTCATTTCTTTATGAGGATGGCTTTGAATTTCAGAAGCTGAAGAATGAACTCTGTTCAGTATAGCTTTGTCTTTAAGAAGTAAAGTGTTTGGAGGAAACACATGAATTTCTTAGGAGGTAAATACTGCAGTTCAGTCCAGCTGATTCATTAATTAGTAACCAAGAATACCCAGATAGGACTTTTGGCTCAGCTACTCTACTGGCCTCAGCGATCTATTGGAGGACAGAAGGTGTCAGGTCTCTGCTGGCTGCGCCCTGCTGGATCCGAGGGTGGAGAGAATGTTCAGGCTGTGGTTGAGCTTACAAATGATGATAGCTACTTTCCTTGTTTAATGCTTCATAAAACCTGTGAAGTGGGTACTATTTGTCTCTTAATTTTACATTCTAGAAACCTATGCATAGAAAGATGAAGAATCTTCATTTCAAATTGCTAAGAAGAAAGAAATGAAGGATTTGAAGGTTTTCCAGACTTCAAGGCCCAGAGGAAGATCAGCCACTCTAGAGTGACTCTGTGCAACGTAATCCCTTGGAGCCTGTGGAATCAGATGTTTTCCAGCCCCCTGAGGAAGTTTGAGTCCGGCTGCACAGTGAATTATGACTCCGTCTGGACTAACTTCTTACCCTCTCCCACATGCTTTTCCCTAGACTATAAAATAGCATATACTCATGGTAAAAACAGAGCTAGAAAATACTTAAAATAAAAGATAACTAAGACCTCTGCTTGTCTCACCAGCACCGAGCCTTTGCAAGACTCCTCAGCTCCTGGTTCTTGTGGCTTGATTCTTCCTTTAACAAACTTGGCGGGCTGCCTCTGATGTTTTCACTGTCTACCCTATAGACTGCGAACTGGAATGTGAAAGCACACTGTGAAGGGAGAGTGTGGTTAGAAAAGTGCGGACTGCTGTTCCTCTCTCAGCTGTTTTTATTGGCTGTTGTGACTCTGGAATGGGGCAGTGGGCAGGCCGCTCAGCCAGGCCCTTCATGTCGTGCTCTCCTGCTGTCCACTCCCTCTGAGGCTGTACTCCGATGCTATTGAATGCGTGCAGCTCCCTACACACTCTGCATTCGTCAAGTATTTTGTGGCTTGTGTTTATTGCCAGGTCCTGTGCTAGCTCTGGCTCTGGAGCAGACAGCCCAGAAGAGCAATCGCTGTCATCCTGGAGCTTGTGTGGGGATGGGAGGTAGTGACAAATGGTTCTGGAGCTCACACTGCATATACCAGCCACTCCTGCATGGCCCTGATGGGAGTGGTTCAGCTGCATTAATTCTTTTTTTTTTTCCTGTACCGGGAATCGAACTTGCGACTTTGCACTTGCCAGGCAGGCGCTGTGCCGCTGAGCTAAGTCCCCAGCCCCAGCTGCGTTAATTCTGTCAGTTCTATGAGGCAGGTCCCAGTATCATCCCGACTTCATAGGTAAGGAAACTGAGGTGTGCCTCAGTGATTAAGCAACTTCCGCATTGACGAAAGTCACACAACCAGTCTGGTTCCTCACCCGGACGCACGGTGCGTCTAGGTATTTTTCGGGTACTGTGTTCTATAGATGGGGTGAATTTCCCTCCTTTCCCTTTTATAATTTCCTAAGAAAAGCCCTCACACTTAAACACTATTTCTGTTTTATTTTCTAGATCAAAACTTCCCAAAAGAAATATGATACATGATCATAATTTTTCTAGCAGCCACATTAAAAAAACTAAAACGAAATAGGTAAAATTAATTTTAATTATATATTTTATTTAACCTAATAAAAATTTATCATCTCAATAGGTAATCAATGTAACCAAGTGATTGAGAGATGTTTTTATACCTTTTTCTGCTAACCTCTTAAACCTTACACTTTTTGTTTTCAGAGTCATCACTCTTCCAGCACCGGGGAGCTCCTGCGGCTGTGGCTGCCACACCAGGCAGTGCAGTTCTAGGCCGTCTGCTCCCTGAAGGAAGTCATCACTCCTCAGTTACCTTTGTACTTGTTCCCAGGCCCTGCTGCTAAACTAAGTGGCCTGAACTTCAGAACAGCTGCCCATCCCGTCTTCCTCATCTGCTCTAGAATGGAGAGCACTAAATAGTAAGTACTTGATACCAGGAGTCTCTAGCAATCAGCATCACAGAAATGCCACATCCATACAGCAAAGTGTCAGAATAACTTCCTGTTAGAACTTTTCTTGATATTAGTTACTTTTTGACAAAACTGCAGACCTACAGGACTGAGGACATTTACCCAAGCTTAGATAGGTAGTATATGGCAGAGCCAACAGCTAGTATGGTTTCTGCCCTCTCCTCTCTAGGTCAGTAGGTGTTCCAATGCTCCATGCGATGGCTTATTGATTGTGTCCACTTGCGTAGGAGGAGTTTAACTAAGCTTTCTCACAATTCCACAGCCTAGGGTGTGGAAGGCCCACTCCTGGGATGGCTTGTCACCTGGATGGTATGAAGGGAAAAGAAAGAAAGACGGCATCTCCTGGCTTCCAGCAGTGACTCTTCAGCTTCTGTTGCAGACCCATTGGCCTCTTGATAGCGGACTTGCATGGGACACTGCCGTGAGCTCTAGACCTTCGACTGGATCCTTCGGTCTCCAGTGTGCAGACATGCTCTGCACGCTTCTTCATCCAGCTCTGCATGGCCGTTGTAAGCCAATCTTGTAAATTCATATATATTTGTGTACCTTGTGTTATATCTGTTTCTCTAGTGAGCACTGGCTGATACACTCCAATACTTCTCAAACGCACTGCGAGTCTACCCTGGGTGCTCGGACATGTATGTACTCACCCTACATTCTCACTCCCTAATCTCTGGCAATCATAGGCCAAGTACCCTGCAGAGAAATTGTCAGTTTTGTTCCATGATCTATATTTGATTTCAGTGAGTAACACTAAATTACCTACTGCTGAATGAAAGGTGAGGCCTCTGATCTCATGGGAATAACCGTGCCACAATGGTCCAGTTTCAGGAGTTTGGTGCAAGAAATGGGGTGGGGCAATGTAGTTACACCCAATCCCACAAGGAGAAGTCTTGTTAAAAATGTGGTGGGATACTTCTCCAAAGTACCTAAAATTGTGTGAATTAGCACAGGGGAAATATTTGAGGCCACAGGCACAGGGAAAGACTTTCTGTTTAGAACTCCACAGCACAGGACATATTATCAAGAATCAACAAATGGGATTATATCAAATTAGAAGTTTCTGCACAGCAAAGGAAACAATCAACAGAGTGAAAATATAACCTACAAAATGGGAAAAAATTTTTTCAGCTGCTCTTCTGATTGGGACTAATATATAAAGAACACACACACACACACACACACACACACACATTCTAATATACAAAGGGTGAAAAACATTAACCTCCCCCAAACAAATGACCCAGTAAAAATATGGGAAAATGAACTGAATAGACACTTCTCAAAAGAAGTACAAATGGGCCAGTAAGTACATGAAAAAATATTATCTTTAGCCATTAGGAAAATGCAAACCATAACAACTCTGAAATTCCACCTCATCCCCATCAGAATGCCTACGATCAAGAACAAAAAAGCGGGGCTGGGGATTTAGCTCAG